CTGGGAAAATCCGAAATCGCCCGAACTTCTCTAGCCACTTCCACTGGCTGCCAAGACTCTAGGGCAAAGATAGCAAGCAGGTTTTCAGACATCTAGGGCCACCCAAAACATGTCAAACAGTTGGGCAATCAACGAGTTCCGGTTGGGGTAAACCATGGGACAAAGCATGTCCAGGCCGTAGGTTCTAATGCAACATGTATGTGCTATCCCCCTACATCCCCCTACACCCCCCCTACACCCCCCCCTACATCCCCCTACATCCCCCTACATCCCCCTACATCCCGAATCCCCCTCTGCATTAAAGGTTCCTTGTGGAGCTGAAACGCCGCTTGCCAAGGTCGGGTGAGCCACTGAGCCTGGGTGAGATGTCGTGCGCTGAACTTAGGTGAGGCTGTGTGTGACGAGCTCAGGAGCTCACTGTGGCTGCAAGTTGATTTGAGCAGTACAGCCAGAAGGAAGATGCGATGGCAGAGGCAATGTAAGGGGTAATCTGTTGTTGTTTTTTTTCTGTTTGTTGGAGGTCGTGTTGTTGAGCTTGTCTTCTTCCACGGCCTTACCACTGTGGGATTTTCTGTGTTTCACGGGCAGCAAAGCATCATTGGTCCGCAAACTGTAAAGGTGTGTGACGCGTGATTTTGCAAGCTGTCAATTGGTGCGCTTGGCTTGTTTTTTTTCCTGGCCACGCGGTCGCAGGTAAGGTCGCTCGACCACTTGGGACCTTGGGTTAGAAATTAGAATGCACAAAAAAANTTTTACAATCGGTAAAGAATTTCGATGTGTCATGTGACCCTGAGGCAAAAGTTGTTCAATTTTATTTTTTTGCATAACATTTATTTTTTTTTTTTTTTTTTTTTTTTTTTTTCTGCTGGGACCTTCTTTGGCCCTTGCACGGCCCAGCCACCCGGGCAAACAAGGTGACCCGGGCAGCCCAGCTGGTAGCCTAGCATAAGGGCCTATTTTTTTCTATTAAAAAACAAATTGAAATTTACTATTTACTAGTATTTAGAGAATTTTAAACGTTGTTGAAGGTTTGATGATTTAAGTAACATCTGATTTCTATATCATCGAAGCATCTGTACTGAAGTGCTTGCCGTTTGGCTGAATGCATTTTGTTGGTCTTTTATTGTTGTTCACATTTTATATCTGGGTTCCAGCATTTTCTTGGGGAGGGAATACGTTGGGCTTTATCGACTTTTTGGATGTTGCAGATGGTCTTACTTGTGCCATGGGCATCCCGGCACCTGTGGACAAGTATGGGGAGTGCTCTTCCGACGGCGGTGATGTCTTTATTTGCGACACCTCATAGCCAGGTGGAGCCCCAAGATACCGGTGATGGCTGTCGCCGCCGCACTGACAACATGGATGCAGATGCCATCAACACATCAGCAAGGGAAGCGAAGGTGCCAGCCTTGACGGCGGTTGATGCACCTCTGGCATTGCTCAATCGCCCCCAAATATGGGCATCTGACAGGGAAGCTGGTGGGAATGACCCAGCCGTGCAGAGATCGACATCTATGGACTCTCTGAATCACCTGCACGAGAGTCAAGGCGATGTATGTGGCTCTGAGCAGCTGCCTGGCATAGGCCATGTTGATTTGGCAGACGGTGGATCGGTCAGTCATGCCACTGCAGTTGCCGAAGCTGGCCGCGCGCCAAGAAAAGCGCTGAAAAAGAGGTGGGTTTTGTGCATCCTCGCGCCTGTTTTCTTCGCCATTCTCGACGATTGCATCGCCTTATCGGGTATCCATACCATGAAATCCAGCGACACCCTCCTCGGCTCCTACCTACCGTCTTCATCCGAATAGAACCCCCGGTCATTATCACTGCATCTGGACCGAAAGTTGTGCCAAATACAGCTATAATGACCGGGCGTTCTATTCGGGTGAAGACGGTAGTGAATAGGATGGAGAGGGATCCGACCCGGCCGAGATCCTGGAGGAGGAGCCGAAGTTGGCAGATTGCTATGCAGTATCAGGAAAAGATCTTGAGAGTCCATCGGAATTTGAGTAAATAAAATCACGACAAGCAATGAAATCAAAGTTTCAAAGTTTTAGGAAGGGGACCCGGTGACCAGTAGGTAGGGATGTTCGAACGTTTGAATGGTCTCTGCAAACAGTCCAAGGACATATGTAGGAAGATGTGGCGACGGTGCGAGCGTACTATTTACTATTGCCCATGGCCAGTGCTGAAGATTATAGGCAATAATAATAGGGAGAGGGCCCTACCCTGCATCTGTCTCTTATACACATCTAGATGTGTATAAGAGACAGAGTTTTCTCTGAGTGGCAGGCTGCACAGAAGGCCTTGGGTATGGGGACTGGCAGTCAGCATGGGCTACGAGCTGCTCCCCATCCGGTAACACCAGTGGTGCTTTGTGCTATCGCCTTCAGAATTCTGTAAGTGCCCATCCGCCGTTTGACTGCGACGGGTTAAGTTACGAGCTGCTCACAATCCATAACACTAGTGGTGCTTTGTGCTATCGCCATAGGAATTGTGTTAAGCGCCCATGCACTGTGATTCTGTTAAGTGCCCGTGCGCTTTGATTCTGTTAAGTGCCCATGCGCCGTTCGACTGCCATGGGTCAAGTTATCGTGGTTCATCACGTAGTTGCTGCTCAGCATGCTGTCGCAGAACGATGTAAACTGCCAGCCACGCTACCGAGTTTTGGCCGTTCGTTCACAAACAATAATCGAACTCCAAGACTTCTTCATCTGGCGCTTCTTTGGCAATTGTCGACTGCCGAGCTTTCACCTCTGCATCAGCAGCTCCTGCTTCAACACGAGGTAACTTCTGTTGTTTTTTTCGCCGCGGAAACTCCATGTTCAAGTTAATTGAGGCCTGGTTAAATTTGTGTCATCTTACACTGTCTTCATTTTTCTTTTGTAGTGTTCTGGAATGGGTTGTAATGAGGGTTCAACATCCATTCACCAAAGTCCCAGGGAAGACGTTTTAGATTGTCAAGGGGTCGATGATATTCTTAGAGGCGTGCGACCATGATGGAATCTTTCCCGGAATCCTGTAGTCGGATGAGATGGAAATAGAGGAGGGTTCTCGTATTACCTTAGCACTTATCCGGCAGTGTCCAAAGTCTAAACGCAGTGGTTAAAGACGGAGTCTGCATACCGCTGACCGTGCAGCTTCCCTGTGGAACTTCTACCACCAGGACTTCCACGCCTCTCTTTCCAAATGCCGATTTCTGCCATGCACCCACCTCGTTCGCGTGCGCATGAAATCAAAAAGTTTTGGCAGGCACCGCCAACAATTTTGTTTCCGTAGGCCGCGAGCTGAAGATCACGGCATGTTTACGGCCTTGTCGGAACGACATGGCTGGGAAAAGTAGTGGTGGTTTAAACCATCAGCAGGTTGGCACCTCGTTCGCATGCGCATGAAATTGAAAATTTTTGGCAGGCA